CCCTCTCTCTGAAAAGCAATGGAAAAAATATCATCTGGTGAGGATTAAAAAAACAAGAAAGAAAGAAATAGAAGTCAGGACTAGCTTGACCTGGGCGAAGAAGTCAGTGGGGCATAATTGAAATATGGCATAGGAAAATTATTTTGGAGGTATATTTGTGAGTTACATTAAGAAAAAGAGCCTGGAGGCAAGGAACACAGGGATGCTATAATATCCATGCATAAAGGGGAGAACAGGGACTTGATCTAGGGTGGTGACAGTAAGGTGGAAAGGATGGAAAAGGGTGGGAAGGAGATAGCGGTCTGTCTTTGTGCCTAACTGAATATAGGGTAAGGGAGAAATGAATCAAGAAATGTCTTTGAGGTTTTTAGCTTGTTATAACAGAAGTTGGGTAATTAAACACATTGAGCTGGAGACATGCTCATGTCAGTCAGTTGGATATTTGCATTGGACAATTAATTGTCAACTCAGAACTAGATTTCAGGAGAGAGATTGAGACTCTCAGGAGAGAGATTGAGATTGAGAAGATATAGGTGTGGGATCACTCCTGTTGAGTATATGCAAGGAGTGAAGAGAAAAAGGCTATGAATAGAACCTCGGGAAATGTCCTCATATAAGGAGCTGGAAAGAGAAGGGCCAGCAAGTTTTCCAAGTCTCTCTTGACCTGTATAGATGCATTTCTTCTATTTATTTGTTTAGCTACACAAGACTCAGTTGAATTGTTTTTGCAGGAACATTGATTGCAATATACCTGGATGTTTCTTGCGTGATGTTGAAAAGTTAAAGCAGTATTCTGGAAGGAATTTCAAGAAAAATAAGGATGAACTGGTTCAGAAATTGTACACCCTGATTAACAACACTGTCTTTGAGAACAAGGTAAAATCAGTGAAGAAGCACTGATTGAGTATACCTGCTGTGTGCCCAGCACTCTTGGGTGCTGTGAGGTGTGCAGATGTGCTAATAGTGTATTTTCTGTCCTTGAGAAGTACCAGCTTAGATGGGGAGATGAGACATGCTTATGTGAAAGAAACAGAGAATGTTTGTGGGTTATAATATACAGTCCAGACTGTTACTACCACAGGAGACCAGGAGAGGGAGAAATCACTGAGACCTGAGTGGTCAGGAAATAGGATTGCCTGGAGGAAGTGAGACTTGTTCTGGTTCTTGAAGGATGCTAAGTGGAGAAAAAAAATCAGTGATGGGTGAGAGCATGTGTTGAGGCTTGACTATCTGGAAGAGGAGGTTAATGTAGAATAAGGTGACCTTGGGCATGTTACTTGAGCCCTCTTTGCCTCTGTTTCCTTATCTGTAAAATGGGGACAATCATAGTACTGTACCTCCTACTTCATGGAATTATTGTCTGGCTTTTAGGTAAGTTAATACACCTGAAGTGCCTAGAGCAGGACTTATGGCATAGTCAGCAATACATGGTAGCTTTTTTTTGATAGCATAGCACTAGATAAAGGAGGGCCTTGGGAATCAGGTTGGGGGGCCTAAATTGAAATCAGTAGGCATCACTGCACAGGGATGTGATATGAAGTGGTTGCTGAAAGAAACGAATCTGTCAGAAGCAGGAGTACTGACTAAATTGGAGAGAATCTCGGGGCAGAGAGACCCATTGTCCATTAGGTTTTTCAGACCTTATTGTCTGCAGGGAAAGTTCTGTCATTCTAAAGGTTCCCCATTTTTTTATGCCCTTCCTGATGTCACATCAGATGACTGATTAGCAGAACCTTAAGTTTTGAGTTGGATTTTCAATTGTGTCTCACTCCTCTCACACACAGGTCATGTCTACCTCAGCTCATTTGTCCTTCTCTTGTGGCTGCCCCTGACTTGGTCTCCATGCGTGGGAGCACAGACCCTGCACTGCCAGGGTCTCAGCAATCTCCCTCCCTTGCATCCTGATGGCCTGCTAATCACCTTTTCCTGAGCTTCAACTTGCCTTTTATTCTCCCTAGAATGTTTTGATTTGCAAAAACTCTAGAGTTAATATTTTCTGGTATGTTTAGAACTGCTTTGTGATTCACTGTCTCCTTGCTTTCTCAGATGCCAGAGAGACTGGATATCCGCTGGAATAATAAAATGCTGAGAACTGCTGGCTTGTGTAGCTCTGGCCTATTTCATTACCCAAAGCAGCGTTACACTAAGATTGAGATTTCTCTGAAAGTCTGCGACTCTGCAGGTGATGGCAGGAGCATGGCAGCTTTCCCAGTGGGCTCTTTTCTTCTGACACGGTGCCTGTTAAGTTACTCTTAGGTGCTGGTATTCTCTGGCAGCCTGTGTCAGCCCTGCACAAGCCTACAGTGTGTTGCTTAGAGGACATTATTATTGGATGTCTCACTATCCCTGAGAGTCCTACATGTCCATCTTTCCAGTAGGCCTAACTTTCTCTCTGCAGCTTCCTATTGCCAGCAGCAGCATCTTCATTCTCCCAGTAACTGAGGTTCAAGGTTCCCGATATCTAGCCAATCACCAAATCTTCATAATGACTCTCCTATCATTTCTTCTCCATCTTTGCCTCTGCCCAGGTATGGGCCCTTGTCACCTCACTCTTCTTCCTGCTGCATTCAGTCTCCTGCACACCACTGCATTGCTTTCCTGCCAAGAAACCTGGGGCTTGCCAGTACCAGAGCCCAGCTTTCAAGACTGTCATAGTCTGCCCCTGTGCCTCTCTGCCAGGCTTGGCTCCCCCTGCTCCACCACTAGCCTGTGCTCCAGCAAGGCTGGCTTCCCACTGGCTTTCAGAATGGACCACACACTTTCCTAGCCTCAACCTTTGGTACATTTTTCACACCTAGAATGGCTTTTATAATTTTGCAAATCCAGTCAATTGTTAAGGGCCCTGCTCAGATAGCAGTTTCTCCATGGTGCTTCTCCTGACCTCATCGTAAGGTCTTGGTGATTGCTCCCCACTCTGTCCACTTATGTTCCTAGAGGGCGGGAACCAGGTCTTGGCCAGATGTATTTCTGGCAGAGTCCCACAAAAAGATGAGCAGGCTGAAGCTGCTCTGAAAAGACTCACTCAAGGCTCTGCCATTTGCCACATTGGGTTGAAGTGGGTAGAAATTTCACTTTCAGAATCCGGGGAAGATCACACTCACGCCCATCAGCACATGCTTATATAAGATGGCTTTCTGTGTGGTGGGGCTGATTGGGTAGTGACTGGAAGAGACTCGGTTTAAGTGCCCATGGTTTCTTTTTATTCCTCTTCCAAGACCGAATCCGGGATACTTTGATCCATGAACTATGCCACGCAGCCTCCTGGCTGCTTGATGGCATCCGTGATTCTCATGGTGATGCATGGAGATATTATGCCAGAAAATGTAATGTGGTGCACCCAGAGCTGCCCTTGGTCACCCGTTGCCACAACTACAAGATTAACTACAAGATTTATTATGAGTGTTCTCGGTGCAAAACCAGGTAAGACCCTTCTCAGACTTTTTCCAATTATGTTTTTACTATGGCCTCCAAGTGGCTCTTTAGTGACTAAATTAGTAAGTACATGGCTATCTGATTTGAGGAGTAAAACATCTCCTTTCCATGTCCTCTTTTCTCCAATCTCCCCTACTTTGAGCCGGCCTGACCACTGCCGCTGCTTGGTGCCCCACTCTCTGAGAACCCCCAGAAGACCTGGCTTTGGGCCCAAGGCCAGCACAGAGAAGAGGCCGAGTTACAGTGACTTCATTGTGTGGTATGCCTTTCCTCCTTAGGGTTGGCCGCTACACCAGATCGTTGAACATCGAGCGCTTTGTCTGTGCCGAATGCAAGGGACCTCTGATTCTGCTGCCATTAACTCGGAAAGATGGGTCCCCCATAAAGCCCCATGTGGGACCCTTTGCCAAGTATGTGAAGCAGTATTACGGATTAGTTAGGCAGCAGACTGCAGGCATAACCCACGGGGATGTGATGAGAACACTCAGCAAGGATTATTTTATCTGTAAACAAAAGCAAAACCATTAAGGTTATCTGAGAGGGTAGCTGTGTGAGCTGAGTCATCTACTGGTGAAGAAGTTTTAGAAAAATATCTTTGTTTCTATGAAGTTATGAATATTAGAATTTAAATCCTTTTTATACTGTTGATGATTGTTCTTTAACCAAGGGTTCTATTGTCCAGCATGTTGTGCCCTTTACAGTGCTCCGAAGCCCTTTGGGCCCACCTTGTGTCTTACACTCCAGAGTTGTGACGTGTAGAAGGAAATGCAAAAGCAAAATACAGTTTCAAGAGTGGCTAGTGGAGAGGATGTGAGTAGTGCTGGAAAGGGAACACGTTTTAAAGCCAGTATTTCAAAATGAGGGCTGCTGGCAGATGTAACCTGTAACGCCTACCTAGAAATAAAAAACATGTTTCATGAATTTAGTGTCTCTTGCTAGCTGAGCCAATGTAATTGCTCATAAAATAAAAAAATAAAATGTTTTTGGCAATTCACTTGTTAGCAGTCTGTTCATTGACAACCTGTGCTGAGAGCCGAACAAGCCCTCAGGTCTTTGTCCAGGCCCCCCAGACATCTGAAGCTCTCCTGGATGTCCCGGAGAGAGCATTCTCTGTTCTGGATTTTTCTGATTGTTGTGATTGCTCAGAAGTATGCCAGCAGCCTCCCCACCTCTGGGAGCTAACTGGGATGTAGATAGAGCCAATGTTGTATTCATTCCCGATTGCTGCTATAACAAGTTACCACAAGCTTAGTGACAAGTATCTTACAACTCTGTAGGTTGGAAGCGTGGCACAGACCTCACTCAGCTGCAATCCAGGTGTGGGCAGGCCTGCAGTCCTTTCTGGAGGCCCCAGGGGGAACCCATTTCCTTGCCTTTCCCAGCTTCTAAAGGCTGCTGCAGTCTGGGCTGCGTGGCCCCTTCCTCCATCTTCAAAGCCAGCAACGTCTGCTTTTCTGACTCTCTCCCCTTTTGCCTCCCTCTTTCACTTTCAGGGACCCCTCTGATGATAGTAGGCCCACCTGGATAATACCAAAGCTTATTTTAAGGTCAACTGATTAACAACCTGTGCCACATAAGGTAACATATTCCCAAATTCTGGGGATTAGCGTATGGCCATTTCTGGGAACTCATTATTCAGCCTGCCACACACGTCTTTACTAGTCTGGCCTTACTGTTGTTTAGAAGCTGCATGTGTTCTGTCATCTTCCCTCCTTCCATCCTTCCTTCATTTGGCAGGTGCTTAGTGTTTTTTCAGTGGCCACAAATGGAAGCCTAGCCACCAGTTTAGATGTGATTGGGTGTGTACACAGCATGGCACGAGCTTCCCCAGCTGTATCCTTGGATCCCTCCTCTCCAGTTGCACCTCCAGCTGTATCTGTGGTCTCATTAAAGGCACTGCTGGCCTATAAAACTGGATCGTGACACACTGGTGACTTAGGGGGAGCTGACAATGCAGTGATTCTGCCCCTACAAAGGGAGGGTCCGGGCCTCTCCCTTAACTCAGTAACCCTGTCACCTGTCTTTTGGGGGAGCCCTGGTCATTTCTTCCACTCACTTCCACCCTAGCAATGGCCATGGGACAAAGCTCCTCAGAGCCCACCCATTGCCTCTAGATGATCTTTGTGCTAATGACTTGGCTAATCATCTGATCTCGTTCCTTGTTTTCCATCCCACTGCCATTTCATTATGAAAAGCCTGTATCACCTGACTAACCATGACAGCCTTCTCACTGGTCTCTAGAATACCATCACCTGACCCCAAACTAACTTTCAGTCTTATTTTCAACCTGTCTCCTACCTGAATCCTTAACTCTAGCCAGTTGGGACCGGTTAGAATTCCTCCACTAAGCATTGCCATTTTCAGCCTTCTCATCTTTGCTTCTACCCTCCCTTTCTGGAAAGACTGTCTTTCTCTTTGCCCTGGGAAATACTACTTGCCTTTTAGGGTCTGCTCATTTCTGTCTTCAGGAAGCCGTCCCAAATGGCTCTAGCCATAGTGCTCTGAGCCCCAGGTTCACTGTGTGTGCCACGTTTGCCTCGTGGCCTAGACTGCTTGGTATTGTTACCTCTCACCACATCTTCCCTGCTGGCCTAAGCTTCTGGAGTACAGAGACTACATCTTATTTATGTCTGACGGCCCCTTCTCCAAAGTATACCTATACAATGTCCAACCAGCCAGTTGACTGCTTATCCTGCACCCATGTACCTAGGTGCTTCCCTGCAAGTGACACGAGTGCCCAGGAGGGCAGAGAGGAGGCCAGACATAAACATGAACAGGCAGCATTAGTTAGCTCAGTCCCACGGACAGGCGAGGAGAAGCAGGAAGTGCATCCTGGAGCCTGGGTGGGGCTGGCTGGAATGATGCACCACTGCCACACCTTGGTCCTCATTATCTTGTTTATTGAAAGGTTTTAAGCAGAATTTTAAACATAAAAGTGAGCAAATACAGAGGTGTTGGGGACCATAACTAATCACTGCTGGGCTGGAGGCCTGGGCTAAAGCCCCAGGGGGACATCTTCCACCATGCTGTTTGCCTCATGCTCTTCGTAGATGGGGAAGGCCAAGGTCTAGTTACTGAATTAAGAGTGTAGTGGGGCTCCGGACAGCCAAGGGAAGAAGGGCCTGAAGGCAGCCAACTCTGAATCGGCAGAATGGGGTTTGGCAACTAAGGTGCAGCAATGGCAAAGTCCCCAGAGCCAGGAGGGTGGTTCCGTGGGAGACATGGTGGTGCTGGGGCTGCCAGGAAATCCCAGGAGTGTACATCTGGGGAGCCATCCCAGGAGAGAGGGAGGGAGGAGCCTGGAATGTGGGGGGAGTCAGGCTGCATGGCAAAAGGGTTGTCCTCAGCCCAGCCTCACAAGCCTGAGTAGGAGGCCTCTGTCGTCTCAGACCAGGACGAATCCCTGCGGGAAGACAGAAGCTGCAGCTGGTGCCCACTTTGGCCGGGGCAGCCCAGTCGCAGAAGTAGCGTCCACATCCGCTCTCGGAACTTGACCCCTACGAAGGCATAGAGCAGCGGGTTGAGGCAGCAGTGCATATAGCCCAAGCCTGAGGTGACGGACTTGGCCACGTCCACATGGCTTTCTCGGCTACAGTTGCGGGCCAAAGCCCCCATGTCCATGAGGGTGTCCACCATCACCACCAGGTGGTAGGGGGTCCAGCAGAGGGCAAAGGCCACCACTACCACCACCACCAGTCGCATGGCTCGCAGCCGCCGCTGGCCCCTGGAGACCAGCAGCACAGCTAGGATGCGAGCATAGCAGTAGGCCATGACCATCAGGGGCAGCAGGAAACCAGCCACCAGCTGCAGTAGGCGCAGAGCTGTGCGGCCCAACTGTGGGAACTTGTACTGGCAGTGGGTGGCATTGAGGCGTGCATCTTGGTGGGCTGACAGGAAAATGAAGTCAGGGAGGGCAAAGAGTAGACAGAGCCCCCAGACAACTACGCAAGTGAGGGTCACACGGGCTGGGGGCCCCCGGCGGTAGAGCTGGGTGGCATGCACTATGCTCAGGTATCGATCAAAGCTGATGCAGGCCAGCAGGAGGGCCCCTGCATAAAAGTTGATGTTGAAGAGGGCACCTGCCACTTTGCAGAGACCAGAGCCAAAAACCCACTGGACTGCAGCGTCTACTGCCCAGAGGGGGAGGGTTAGCACCAGCAGGGCATCAGCTATGGCCAGGTGGAGCAGGAAGGTGTCGGTGCTATTCAGGGCTGCCCGCTGGCTGAGCAGCACAGCTGCCACAGCACCATTGCCCAGTAGCCCCAGCACAAAGAGGAGGCCATAGAGGGCTGGCATGAAGGCCCGGTCAAAGTTCAGGCTGACGTCTTGTGGGCAGGGTGGGGAGTCATAGCAGAAGTCGCTCTCATTTTCTCCTCCATAGTCAAAGGAAGAGTTATAGTTTTCCAGGAGATAGGCAGAATCAGAGCCTAGGAGCTCTAGGTAGTCACTGATCTGTGGAGGGAGGGAGGGGAGGAAGGAACAGACCCTGTAAACAGACTCCTTCTGAGATTTAGTCTGAGGAGCCTCTCTCAGATCAGCCCCACTGTAAGGCAGGCCTTGAGGCCTGGACCACACCCTGTAATTGTCCCCACCTTTCTTCCAAGGCCACACCTCCTGAACTGCATCTGCCCAGCCTTGGCGCTGGAATGTAACTTTCCTTTTCAAAGGCTGATTCTCACTCACCTTTTGGGGCCATTCCTTTAGCCCAGGGGTTGTGGGCTGGCGGAAAGCTTTCCTCCAGGGCAAGAACCCTCCTTGCGCCTCTCCTCTCTCTCCTTTCTCTTCCTTTAAGGCTTGCTGTTCTCAGTATCCCGGCCACGCCTAATTCTACCACCTTCCTCCCCAGGCACCACCCCACCCTACCCTCTCCCAGTCACTGGCCCTCCTCTTCACTCCTCAGCCTTGTCTGGGGATCCCAACTTCCTGCTTCCCATGGGGCCCCTCTACAAATCACTGTGCCCCCATATGCATGCTTTTTGCCATTCTTTTCTGCCCTTACACCAAGGACTGCCACCCACTAGGGGCTCCTCTACCGAGCTTTAGCAGACATAGTCATTCCCCCCTTGTCCTACAAACCACCCCAGAGTTGCAGGCCTCCCCAGTGCCAATTCAGTCCAAGACAGAAGAGTCAAAGTTCCAAGTCAGAGCTGAAGGGAGCCTCGCTGGCTCTCAGGAGCGAGCCTCTACCTCCTGCATTTTACAGATGAGGCATCAGCCAGAGAGAGAACGTGACTCGCCAGTGGTCATTCTCACAAGTCAGTGGCCAAGGTGGGTTCTGAATTCCCCATCCAGTGCCCCTTCTACACAACCCCTGCATTGTCTACCTACTCACCCAACCCTCTGGTGGTACTGGCTCATGGGCCAGCCCTGCTGGTCCCCTAGTGTCCTGGGCTCTCCATACTGAGAGTAGTCTGGCCTGGCTGGGCAGCAGCACTTACCTCAGGGAGCATGGCTTGGCTGGTACTCAGACTGCTTGGCGCGTGCTGCCTGCTCCTCTGCTTTGGTGCTTGTGGTTGGAAGCCTGTGCTACACAGAGGAAGTGAGGGTTTCATGCAGTTCTCGACCGCCTCCTCTTCCATGGGGTTATCTACACCAGAACTCCCTAGACCCAACACCATTCTTCTGACCAGGGAAGCTGCTCTGGAGGAGCTGACCACAAGCCTGGGGCCAGAAAGGCTGAGTCCTAGGAAAGGGCAGAAGCAGGTCCTCAGAGGGGAGAGGACTAAAGGAGAAGCAGAGCAGGTGGGAAGTGCAGGACAGCCCTGCCTGCTGCCAGGGAAAGAACTGCTTCTCTTGCACTGGTGTAGTCAATGTTCAAATAAATGAGAACATGTGCTCATTTGCCTGGGTTGAAGTCAATTTTTGCCTGATTGTAGACTGGATTGCTAAATGTTTTGAGCCTGTAAAAGAAGATTAACCCTCTTTAAAAAAATCAAAATACTTAAAAGAAATCCATTACATTAAATCTAATCCTTTACTATTGCACGTTCGTGCTAATCAACAGGGGCAAGGAAAGGGAATTACTAGTATGAACTTGCTATGTGCCAGATGTTGCTTTAGGTGCTTTCCCTGTCACTGCCTCATTCCAACCACACAACTCCCTCTTCAGGTGGGGGTTATCCTTATGACTAATCCAGAAAGGAGAAAGGTCTTCAGCAGACACAGCAAGTAAGGGTGGGTGCTAAGACTGGACCTATGGCTCTCTGACTTTCTTTTTACCACTAATCACACAGCCTTCAGTTTTTTGTTTTTTTAAAAATAGAGAAACTACGATGTATTCATGCAGTTAAAAGCAAGTGAACTAAAGCTCTATATTTTAACATGGATGCATCTGGAAAAGCCAATGACCACGTGGTAGAAGAGGCAAGTTACAGAATGTGTGCATGGTTTGCTATCACTTACGTAAATTCTAAAAACCACACACAAAAAAAGATACCGTATTGTTTTGGATACAGCTATTTGTTCTAAAAGTTTAAGAGGGACTGGAGATATCACAAATTCATGAGAGCAGTTGCTCCTGGGGCAAGAAGAAGGGAAATAGAGTTGGGGAAGAGCGCCTGGGGACCTCCCGATTTTAAGGAAAAGCTGTAAACAGCATTTGTGGAATCAATCAGTCCCTTTTTGGCTGCCCACTGTGTGGAGTTCTGCTCCCCACTTTGCCCCCAGCTCTCCCCTGCCTTCCTCTCCCCTCCCTATCACCCTGTTCTCATGAACAGTGGGGAAAGGTGGCCCTTAACTTGCCTTTCCCAAGCAGTTTCCTCTTTCTCTCTCTCCCCCCAGGTGAAAAGGAGAGACAGAGTCAGTGCTAGCCCATGGTCTTAGGATCCAGTTTTCAGGCAGAACGTTTCACAAGAGCCAGGACCTGGGATTCAGTTCACAGTTATTGACAAGATGCACACTTGTGAAGCCCCAAGACCTTTTCCTGCCTTCTGTGGACAGAAGACTTGACTATTCTTGCTCCAAGCAGCTTGTCACTTGCAGGATCCAGGCCAGAAGGAACTGAGGGCCTGGAAGAGGTCAGGAGCAATGTAAGTGGAGGGGATTGGGAGGATTCCAGAAGCCACGGAAGTTAGGATGGACTTGGCAAATGACTGCCTGTAAGGTGAGGAGGAGAGGTGGGAGCCAGGATCATAGTTTCCTGATGCTGGTACAGGAAGTTTCCGTTCACTGGGCTTCTACACATGAGAGAAATGAGGCCAACAAAATGCTCTATTTGTTCAACTTAATGGAAGGTCTTCTATTCTTCAAGTTTGTCCTTCGTCACCTTTTTGGTATTAAAAGGATTTTTTTCTTTATGAGATTATGGTGGAAATAACTGATGGCTTTGGAAGTATCTCCTGTTGGTAGAAGTTGACAACCCACTGTGGGTCCTCCAAATATATGTTGGAATGTTACTGGTCCATGTGGAATTTCAGTCTAGGGACCACTGGTCTTCTTCCTGTGCCCCAGTCTCCACATTTGTCACATGGGGACAATGATCCCCACCTTCCCAGACTGCTGGGAAGGAGAAACAGAGCACATCAGGCAAGAACTTTGCAAAGGTGCAGAGAACTTTCTTTTCTGAGTTTCAATGTCGCATCTTGATAGGCCAACCTGGGGAGTGCTGAGGGCTGCTCTCCCAGTTCCTTGGGTGGCCATGATGGTTGAACTTGTCTGGCTCCAGCCCTGACTCCACCCTGTTCGAGCTGTGGGACCTTGGACAAATGACATAACTGTTTTGAGCTGGTCTCAGCAGGGTTGTTATAAGATAAACTGAGATAACCAAGGCAGTAAGGCCCCTGGCACAAGGCTCAGCACTTCGTAGGTGCACAGTTGAGAATGCTGAGTGGGAGGGCTAGTGGCTATAGACCTAGAGTTACTGGGAGCCTTCATGTTGGGGATCCCTGGGAGGGAGTGTGCTACTCTGTGGGGCGGGCAGGCATGGGTTTGACCTGAGGGTGACTTCACCAGAAAGGCTGCCCAGCCCCTTAGGTGGGAGTGTTTGGCCAGTCCTGGCCTAATGCTCTGGCTTCCCAGCTGTGTAATCTCAGGCAAATCATTTCACCTCTTTGCCTCAGTTTCCTCATCTAAAAAAAAGGGAAAGAGATAGTACGTGTGTGATTGGCTTGCTCTGTGGACTGCAAGTGATACAGGTGGAACATGTCTGGCACAGGGTAGGTGCCCAGTGAGCAGCAGTTTCCTCCCCTCCCGTGCCTCAAAACGGCAGGTGTGTGGTGGGCTTCTGTGGTCTTTCACAGTCTAGGTGCCTTGGAAGGTGCCTGTGTCACAGTGCTGAGCCAAGCCCTTGTCTGGCCCTCTAATTTGGTCCTCTCCTGTCCCAAGCAGCACTCAGACCAGGCCAAAGGCAGACCCAGACCTTGGGGAGACACCCCTAGTTGGGGGCTTGCGCTCTGAGTTCTGTAGAGGTGCTGCCTGCTTCTGTTCTCTGGAGCGGCCAGCCTGGAAGCTTGAGGAGGAAGTTAGTCAGAGTGAAGCTGCTCCGGGCCCCACCTGTGGTCAAGGTGTGAAATGTGCACCTGTCTCTTCTCTGCAACCCCTCCCCCTGTTTTTTTTCTTTTGTTCACACCTTTGGGCTGTGGTTTGGGGAGATGGGAGGCTAGGAGGTCTGAGCCCTGGGCCCCGTCCCTCACAGGAAAGAGGGCCTCCACAGCTGTCTGCCAGAACAGCCAGGGAAGGGGGCCATTTCCTCCTCCTCCCTCTCAGTGTCTGCTGCCTCACAGCCTCTCTTGTAGCACCTCAGAATGCCTCTTGGAGCCTGCTCCAAAAACACTTGGACTCAGCCATCAGTTCCAGGCTGTCAGAGAAGCAGGCTCAGTGAGGCCTAAGCTTCCGTGGGGCTCAGGCAGTGGCCTAGGCTGAGGCAGAGCCTTTCTTTCATGAAATCAACAAGAGTCATAGTCCCTAGAAGGAGGGTGGGTCTGTCCCAGACTGTGATGGAACTCTGGGCTTCCTTCTGCCTGCCCTGAATTTCCCAAGAGAAGGAGAGCTTAAGTCATGGAAGGCCCTGGGACTGGGGACCACCCCCTCCTCTGCCCCTCTTCTTGCCGCTCTGAGCCCTACTGGGAGACAAGCCCTTTCTAAGTGCTGGGGCCATGGGGTGGGCCCAGCCAGTCCAGGCCCATGAGGGTGAGTTCCCAAGCTATGAAGCACTCATTCTTTTTGGTACCAGAGAAAGAAGATGTTGTTAGGTGGCAAAGGGAGACAAGGCAATTCAGGCTGTGGGACCAGCAGGTGCCAAGGCAAGGAAGCAAGGAACAGCTTGTCATCGCAGGGGCAGCTAGTCTTGTTGGAAAAGAAGGTACATGTGAGAGCAGGAGGGTAGAGGGGATTGGAGAGTAGTTCAAGACCCAAGCCCTGCCACCAAGCACTATGACCTTCTTGTCATTCTGTCCTCAGAAGAGCCCGGAAACTGTTAAATAAAAAATAGCTTCCATTGAGCAAACCTTAACTTTCGTACACATGGTATCTTTTAAACTCTCCAGCCACCTGGGGAGGCAAAGGTTACTGTATCCATTTTGTAAAATGGAGATAGAGATTCAGAGTGGTGAAATGACTTTTCCCAGGCTAGTCAGCCAGTAGGATTTCTGGGAAGATTCCTATCTAGGCTGCTTTCTAATGTGCTATATTGACTGTTGGGGTTGGAGACACCTGCCTCATTCCTTGCAAAAATACTGTGGCCCAAAGACTGGTTCTTTTAGGAGCCATGCCTGACTCACCACAGGACCCAACTAGGCATCTTGTGTGAGGGCAGGTGCTCACCCAGCATTGTGCCATAGGGAGAGCTTTGGTAAACCTCACTGCATTCCCATCCTTCTATCCCTGCTCTTCCCTGCTTACCAGGGAGAAAAAAAATGTCAGAATCTCTAGAACGAGGGTCCTGGAGGACCAAGCAAAATTCTGCCAAGCGCCAGAACCCTTTTGCAATGCCCCCAGGAGAGTCTGTAATGCTCCCAGCAGTCTCCAGCTCATTGCACGCTGGTTCCTGAAGGCCTGGCTGGGGAATTCCCCCACCTCTGGGGTGGGCACACATCTGTTCCCATTCCATCCTGTACCTGAGAGTTCACCTTGGCTCAGGCTTGTCCAGACTCTCCAGAGTTGCAGGTGGCAACATTGCCAGTGCACAAAAATCTGATTATGGAAGCCTGACCTTGATGGATTCTTGAGTTCCAGTTGCTCCCACAGTGATCAGGTGGAGGCTGTCCCCCTGTACTGCTCAGCTAAAATGAAGTCATTGTCAGGCCCAACGTTTGCTTCTTGCATTCCCTTGGGTTGCCCCACAGAGTGAAGCCAAACAGGATAATAGCTGACGTTTACTGATAACTACATGCTGGGCACTATTCTAAGAGCTTTACTGGGATGAATTCATTTAATACCCACAACTATGTAGTGGCTATGACTTGTTACTATTATCATTCATTCCTGTTTTATAGATGACAGAAACACAGAAGGTTTAAGGAATTCGGTAGAAGCCACCTAGCCAGCAAGTGGCAGAGATCTCATGTTCT